ATCTTAGGGCTTGATTAAATCCGTAGCGCTGAAGAGCTGTGCCACAGTGCAATAGAAATTTAAAGGCAATGTTTCCGCGTTAGCGGAGATTGCGTTCACGGTTAATGCTGCACATGTCGGCTCAATCGGAAGTTAACTTTAAATTTCACTTTCTGAAGATGAATCAAATATTATCAAATCGAATATATCTACCAGTAAATAATACTAATCTGCAGTTTATCTTTAAACGGTGGAAGTGGGAAGTGCTAGAAATACATATTGGCTCTATATAGCAACAGCTCAGCTCACCGCCTGATTTGTCATATGGCACCCTGCTGTGAAGATCTATATAACAGCTAATGATCTGCTTTAACTTAACCATGCGGCAAATATAGAGCCCAGAAAACACACAGTAAGATATTGTCCATGAACAGCCAGATTACAAAGACAAGGCACCGTGTAGAACGAAGTCATTTGCTCATAAAATGAATAGATAACATCTCCCATGTCTATAACACTTGAGAGGGTCATGTTCCCAGAAGTATGTTATGTTTTAATACAGTACAGTAGCTCTATCCAAAGACAAAGTGGAACAGATGAATTGATTTTGTGGCCAGAAGTTATACTTTAGCTACAGTAGCTAAATCTCTATGAGTACTTGTAAAGTATTGGTAAAATATCTGTTGAAGTAAGCCTCATATATGGGCTTAAAGGAAACATTTTCCAACCTATTAGTAACTTGTCAATAGACTCTGATTCAGGAGAACTGATGTCTGAGTAAGGTGGCAAAATTCAAGGAACTCCTGGCTGGAGGGATCCAGATGTCCTGCTTATTCCCCCCTGATACCGAGAATCCTCCAACCGGGATTTCGGGAAAACCAGGGATTTTCTTGAACGTTCCCAGAGTTTTGCAACCATATGTCTGTGTAATTTTCCAAATTTGAAACACAGCGACTACAATCATTCCTTTATTGTCAGTATGTCAGTATTCTTCAGATCTGAAAAAACATATAATTATCAAACGCACGCACACACATCAAAAAAACAAAAAGTCGAGACATTAAATTCCATCATCATGCTCAATCGCTTAACTGCATATTTCCCCCCCCCCTCCCGTTCCCAGGATGTGTATGAACTAGTGTCCAGGCTCCAAGCAGCTCTTCCACCCCAAGACATCTCATCACATGGCCAACAGCTCCAATTGCCTTGTGATTAACACACAATAAAAGAATGTGATAGCTTAAAGAAACAGCAGGAGTGGCAGGCTGCCCAGCCAGGCCTAGTGAACAAGGGTTGATGGTGGGATGGGATGGTGAATACTGTCTATAGTCTGTAATTAAACCAGTCTGCACTTGATGAAAGCAGATCACGCTGGCAGGCCACAGCCTTCACAGCTAGTTTGTTTTTTACGACATAATTACAGTCCAAATCAAATGAGAAGATTTAATATTAGATGAGCATGTGTCTAATGTCAACAATGACACTGACTCACCCCCTGGGGCAGAAAGAGGGAGAGAGGAGGAGTGCTAGCCAGCCGCCATACTGCGGTAATTTACCTGCCTGTGTTTAGGTGCTCTGGCTGAGTACACTGGAATTACACCATTTACATTTTTTTACATTTTTAGTCATTTAGCAGACGCTCTTATCCAGAGCGACTTACAGGAGCAATTAGGGTTAAGTGCCTTGCTCAAGGGCACATCGACAGATTTTTCACCTAGTCGGCTCTGGGATTAGAACCAGCGACCTTTCGGTTACTGGCACAACGCTCTTACCCACTAAGCTACCTGCCGCCCAGATAGAAAGGGGAGGGAGGGGTGGAGGGTTGGAGGGGTGGAGGGAGATGGAGGGGTGGAGGGAGATGGAGGGGTGGAGGGAGGTGGAGGGGTGGAGGGAGATGGAGGGGTGGAGGGAGGTGGAGGGAGGGGTGGGTAGGGTTGGAGGTGGAGGGAGGGGTTGGAGGGTTGGAGGGAGTGGATGGATGATGGAGGGGGTGGAGGGGAGATTGGAGGGATGGGGGTGGAGGGGTGGAAGGGTGGGAGGTGGAGGGAGTGGGTGGTTAGGGAGATGGAGGAAGGGGTGGAGGGAGATGAGGGATGGGTGGAGGGTGATGGAAAGAGGGTGGAGGGAGATGGAGGGCGGGGGGGAGGGAGATGGAGGGAGGGGTGGAGGGAGATGGAGGGAGTGGGGGAGGGTGAGGAAAGAGGGTGTGAGGGGGGAGGGAGATGGCGGGGGGTGGAGGGAGATGGAGGGGGGTCGGAGGTGGAGGGAGTGGAGGAGAGGGGGTGGGAGGAGATGGAGGAGGGGTGGAGGTGATGGAGGAAGGGGTGGAGGTAGATGCAGGGATGGGTGGAGGTGATGGAAGGACGGGTGGAGGGTGATGGAGGAAGGGGTGGAGGGAGATGGAGGGAGGGGTGGAGGGTGATGGAATGAGGGGTGGAGGGGTAGAGGGAGGGGTGGAGGGAGATGGAGGGAGGGGTGGATGGAGATGGAGGGAGGGGTGGAGGGAAAGAGGGAAAGTTTGCGTGAGAGAGAGCGAGAGAATGAGGGGAGAGAGAGAGTGGGAGAGGTAGGTAGAGAGAGAAAGAAATAGAAGATAAGAAAGAGAGAGAGTAAATATGCAGACAAACTGTGTGGTTTTGCAGGAAGACAAACAAACACTTTGCTTGACTGTTCTTCTACAGAGAGGTGTCAGAGAGTCTTAGAGACCTGTGCCGTCATGACCCGCACAGTTATCACAGAGATAAACACAGGATCAACATGATAAAGACACACATCAGTGTTGAACTGAAGTAGATTACTGCCTGTCTTTACACTCCGAGGTTAGTAGGTCCATACACAACTTCTCAATGGGGAATGTTATGCTTGTATGATATGGTGGGTGTTCAGACTAAAGTAAACTGGAGCATCTACATGTTGAACAATGGCCTCTGGTTCTTATTCAGTTAGAAGGGGATTGTACGAACAATGGGCAGTCAATTTATTTTATTTGTAGGAGCCTTAGTTTATAATTTCTGTTTGTGAAATGTACATCTTTTAATACCAGGCGACGTCTTTCTCCAGTGAATGAAACAGAAACAACCTCCCACTGAGTTGGTTTGGAAGTGTTTTTCCTCTCTGAAGAAGTAAGTATTCATTTCCTGTACTTTACTGTACAGTCAATATGACCACAGAGTCCTTGTTCCTCTCTGGGTCAGAACTCCCTCAGGGGATAGAATCCACTGATTCTAGAAGACCACAGCTGTCAAGTGACCGCACTACGACCACACTGCTCAGCGTTTCCTGACCACTATTCTAAACAGCCCTCTCTCTCTTTCCTTCCTTTTCTTGGTCCTTCTCTCTGTCCCTCTATCCACATACCAGCCGTCTCTCCATCCCTGCCTTTCTCTCTCCCAGCTCTGCCCTCTCTCCGTCTCTGCCTCCATCCCTCTCTCCGGTTCCCAGGGGCTGCACAGCTGGGGTGGATTTGCTCTGGTCGCAGTCGTCACCTCCCTAGCGCGGCGCAACCTAACGCAGCCTACCCTGACTGTTGGGTGGGCAGCGCCAATGTTTGATTGGCCACCGGTCAGAATCAGGGCCAGTAGATTAGTAACTGGATATAGACAGCAGGATCCCTGGGGGCCCAGTCAGCCGGGCCCTGTGATCCAGAGGAAAGAGAGTTCTCTGTGGCGGCTCTGTGTGGTCGAGACCTGGACCACAACCCCTACTGCCACCCTGTTCAGTAGAGGATGTGGTTTTACTAAGGACAGTGATTTCAGAGCTCACTCTCTCTGTGACTGCCTGTCCCTGTCTCTCTATGTGACCAAATCGCCTCCCAGCCCTTTTGGTTAAGGGAGAATGAAAGACCTCTTTTCTGTTGTCACTGTAGCCCACTTTTTTCCCATGGCATCAGATACTTGGATACGAAGACAGGCATTGGAAAAAGACAGGGGGGCCTTACATTACATCCATTACGATGGCTTAAAAGGGATGTGTAATGGCATGTTATATGTGAACTATGACATTGGCTGGTCGCTGGTGGTAGCCAGTAGTGGCTAGAAGAGCTGTGGTTGCCAGTAGTGGATAGGAGAGCTGTGGTGGCCAGTAGTGGCTAGGAGAGCTGTGGTGGCCAGTAGTGGCTAGAAGAGCTGTGGTGGCCAGTAGTGGCTAGAAGAGCTGTGGTGGCCAGTAGTGGCTAGGAGAGCTGTGGTGGCCAGTAGTGGCTAGGAGAGCTGTGGTGGCCAGTAGTGGCTAGGAGAGCTGTGGTAGCCAGTAGTGGATAGAAGAGCTGTGGTGGCCAGTAGTGGCTAGGAGAGCTGTGGTGGCCAGTAGTGGCTAGGAGAGCTGTGGTGGCTAGGAGAGCTGTGGTGGCCAGTAGTGGCTAGGAGAGCTGTGGTGGCCAGTAGTGGCTAGGAGAGCTGTGGTGGCCAGTAGTGGCTAGGAGAGCTGTGGTGGCCAGTAGTGGCTAGGAGAGCTGTGGTGGCCAGTAGTGGCTAGGAGAGCTGTGGTGGCCAGTAGTGGCTAGGAGAGCTGTGGTGGCCAGTAGTGGCTAGGAGAGCTGTGGTGGCTAGAAGAGCTGTGGTGGCCAGTAGTGGCTAGGAGAGCTGTGGTGGCCAGTAGTGGCTAGGAGAGCTGTGGTGGCTAGGAGAGCTGTGGTGGCCAGTAGTGGCTAGGAGAGCTGTGGTGGCCAGTAGTGGCTAGGAGAGCTGTGGTTGCCAGTAGTGGCTAGGAGAGCTGTGGTGGCCAGTAGTGGCTAGAAGAGCTGCAGTGGCCAGTAGTGGCTAGAAGAGCTGTGGTGGCCAGTAGTGGCTAGGAGAGCTGTGGTGGCCAGTAGTGGCTAGGAGAGCTGTGGTGGCCAGTAGTGGCTAGGAGAGCTGTGGTGGCCAGTAGTGGCTAGGAGAGCTGTGGTGGCCAGTAGTACTCAGTGGGGACACATCCGTGTGGCCTTTGATGATTACAATGTGACAGCCTTGAAACCTGCAGGGTTAAACCAATGCTGTGATGGGAACAATGAGAATGGAATGGGATGTACTTCACATTAGACGTCAGTCCTCTGCTCTGCTGTCCAGAAGCTTGAAGCCTGCTGCGACTGAGCGATGGACAACATGGCACACAGATTTCTGTCGCCAGTCACAGTGGATAATCTAAAAACGCCCTTCCACCCAACAGAAAGATTTGTTGAATTGGCAAATGTATAGCACTAGTTATATAGAATACTGGTGATTTGTGGTGTACCCTAAAGCGACAATAATCTTTCTGGGGGAAAAATAATCTTGGAAAAGGATCCGGAAGCATAGTTGACATTGGTCTTGAGTGGCAAAAGTTTGTGATTCAATATTTGCTCCCCCCCCCCCCCCATCTACCAATAGGTGCCCTTCTTTGCGATGCATTGGAAAACCTCCCTGGTCTTTATGGATTGAATCTGTGTTTGAAATTCACTGCTCGACCTTATAGAAAATGGTATGTTTGGGATACAGAGATGAGGTAGTCATTCAGTCAAGTTAAACAGCAACTGTAGCAATGTTCCCTAAAAAAATGTAGGCACTGAGCAAATTTCAGGTCTGCTGAGGTAAACTTGAATGTTGTGAAGATTCTGTGAAACTTCCAGCGTGCGTTTACTGTGAACACTGAGGCTGTACCAGCTAGAAGTTACAGTTTTAGCAGTAGCCAAATAAGCTACTATGGCTATTTGATCATAATGTAGGCCTACCAGAGTGGCCTACCATGAAACACAAAGGAGAAAATGCATCCCATAACATTGTAACGTGGAAATAGCTGTTCTATCATTCAGCCTACAGTAGCAGCCAATGTGTGGTGTTCAATGTAGGCCTACATTCCATGAGACTTTTGAAGAAAACATTCAGGACTTGACATTAACCTGTTTATCCACTTGTCCTTCAGACAAGGAGGTGACTGAAAATGTTGTTTGATGCAAGAAACCAAATAAAATGCATTATTATTCCCATACCATTATTACAGAGAATCCGACAAATTATGCTACCCTCTGCCTATTGGATACTTAGCTTATTCAAGCCTGTCTCAAAATACTTTAAGACAAAAAAAAAAAGCTCTTTACCGGAGTCGCTTTTCAAAGATGCCTAGAAATGTACACATTTTGTGCTCTTGTAGGAAGCAATCACTCCCCTATTGTTGATTATAAATGATCTATAACTGGGCTAATAACTCACTAACTAGCAAAGGATATAAACAAAATGTGTACACGTGGCTACATGCAGCTCTCGCTTTGATCTCAAAACAAGAGCATCTACTCACAACTGCTCATGCTGTAAACACAGTCCAGTTCAAAGTGAATGGCACAGATCCATATATGGCAATGGTCTATTTGCATATAGGCCTACTGCCGCTCTGATTGTTTACGCATCGGTCTGTGTAGTGTGTGTCAATGCAATGGAATCCTACTCCGATGCGTTCTGCCTATAACGTCTCTTGCATAGTTCATTTTGTTTCGGTATGTAGCATTGAAAGTGGCTAATATTGAGTTGATTCGATCACAATTGCCATAGTAAAAGGGAAAAGTTGATAGTGTTAACAGGTTAAAACTCTAGAACAGTGGTAACCAACCTTTTCTGAGTCAAGATCACTTTCTGATTCAGAATGCAAGCCGAGATCTACCGCTCAGATTTTCTTTTAACATGACTTAAAACGTAAGCCTATGCAACATTAACCAATTAAAAACAGTACTGTAGCAATGAGGTTTGTGCAGTAGGCTTATAGGTCCAATACATTATCACTGCATATTGGCTTTGCTTGAATTGCCATGCCAATGCATTGTTCTGGCAATTTTTAAAAATTGTTTCCAAATTTGTCGTAGATCACACTGGTAATAGATCAGTTGTATTTTTTTGTGAGGCACAGCTGAGCAAGCATTTAAATAATTTGCTTTTTATTTTACTGGGCTAAAATCGGTCTCAGCATCCCTCCGCTCTCCCCCACTGACAAAAAGGGACACCTTCCAGCTGATGGTGAAACCAGAGTCATACTGCATTATTTCTGCCTCATGCACACATGTTGTTACTCTCAAAGAAAGTGAAATATTCCTCGATATAAAAAAAAGACCCAAGCAGCTAATAACGCAAGCCTATAGATACTTTCCTACTCATTCATTACTGCTTCAGTGCTTGTTGTAGCGCTGAGTGGAAATAGGAAGAACGCACATTTTATGGCTTAAAAGTAGAATAGTGTTAACTCACTAACAGCAGCTCTTTGTATGACAGTTGTCATGTTTTAAAACGTTTTGACATCTCAGTATCAATTTTGCTGTCGCTTTCTTTTATGCCTGGTACATTACTGCCTATACGGTAATTTGAGCCATCGATTGGCCAGTGGTAGGCCTATAGTGCACTTGATTTGCACTCTGGGCCCCGCAGAGGTCGTACCTTCAGACATTTGTTTCAAAATGGCAACAGTTCGCCTACCCGGCGCAGCTTAAATCGGGTGCGCCGATCACAAACAGCATGAGAGCTATAAAAAAAAAGAAGCCATTTCTTTACAGAAATGTTTGATCAACTAGGAATGCCTTGAGAATGACCGGTTGGGGACTCCTGCTCTAGAACGTTGCGTGAACTTTGACCTCTGTGGGCTGTTGTGTGGCAGTCCGTCCAGCAGAGTGAATATGCCACTGTAGTCTCGCGCAGTCTTTCAAGCCCACCACGACTAGCCATCCAATTGAGACATTCCAGTGTCAGCGCAAAAGGTGAGTAACCACCCACTTGAACTAAAGAGCCTTGGGATTTGTTAGATGAGCTGGGAAGCCCACTGTCCAATTACGTCAACCAATGTCCTAACGATCACAATGGCTTGGCCACAGCTAGAAAACTAACCCACCTCAGTGATTGACAATCTTTATGGCGTAATTGCTAAAATGCCCCTCAGACACCACTTAAGAATATTAGTAGCCTACGTCACCCTCAACCAAAATTGATTTGTTATTAATTTTAGGAAGTAACTTTAGATCAATAGTTTCACAAATTAGTTTGGGTGTCTGATCTTTAGATAGCGTACATCTAATCCCAGCCAATAGTCATCTCTCCTTTGGTGTGTCATGTAAAAGTAGTAGTTTAGTCAGGGTATATCCAGGCAAGTTAAGAAATGTACATACCTCAAATGGTACCCAGTCACAACCTACCATTAAAGTGTAACACCCAAGAGACTGAAGTCACCACTATGTTGAACACCATCAAGGGCCAATCAGTTCTTTAGTCAATGACTAAAGGAATTGAGGTAATCATTTATTACATTATGAAAACACCATAGGAATTCAGTTTAGTACAGAGCGACGTGCTGAGGAAGACAAACAAGTGTTATGGTAAAGACATCAACTAAACAGAAATGACAACGTGGAACTTGTACTTGGTCAATATTATCCAGGTAGAGACTTAGAGCTAGAGGCTTAGTAACCCGGATGACGGTAGTAATGGTGAGGTCCATAACTACGTCCGTGGACTGGGATCTGAGGAACACAAGAAACCAGTGTTTAAAAGTATTGGCAACGTATGTTTCAGTAGCAACTACGTACAGATATCCAGGAACCCTACTTCTGATTCCTGATTCCAGAGAGCCTCGATTAATTCAGGGGCCCAAGGGTCTTGTTCAAGGTTCTGAGGGTCGGAGCTGGAGGTCTCCTGAGAAGAACCGGAACCAGCTAGAACCTGGGGAGAGCCAACAACCTGGGGAGCATCAGACAACCACAAATCAGTCATGCTTTAGTTTATTATATTGCACATAAATGAATGGTTCTAAAGCTGTGAATGTTGTACCCGTGGTGTCATGAAGTCACCGTCAGTTAAACCATAGTAGCCACCCTGGATCTGCTGGGGAGGACTGGAGCCAACCTGACCCTTGGCAGAGCGAGAGTCCTCTTTACCTTGGTCCTGGGCATCACCGGGTTTAGGAAATAGTGGTTTGTATGTGACAGGAGCAGGATAGTACCTGATGAAACCAGCTGATCTCCATTGGTTGTTCCCATGCTCATAGTTGGTTCTGAAGTGGGTGATGGTGCCAGCAGGGAACTTCCCAGCGATGAACAGCTCACCATAATTAGCTTCAAGCCCTTCCTGGCTAGGCTCTGGCCTAAGAACTCTGGGTAGGGGTGAGGCTATTGTAGCAGGCAGTGGGGCTGGAATGGAGCCTGCCTCAACCTCAGGAAGGGGGAACTGTTGGTCTTCAGACTCACTCTGACTGTTGCCATGCTCATAGACACTCTCAAAGTGAGAGATATCCCCTGCCTGGAACTTACGAGGTGGAGGCTCACACAAGGGACGTAGTGGAAGAATACTAGGGTCAGTTGTTCCAGAAGGAACACATCCAGTCTGTTCAGGAGCCTGAGGAATGAGATAAGGGGAAGCAGCAGTCTTCTGAGCAGCTTTATAGGAATTCGGAGCAGAACGCTGAACACTGGGACTTGAGACACCAACATCACTACCAGATTCAACAGGACCAGGAAGCTTTGAAAGGCTGTAGGGGCCACTATGGCTGGGGTCAACAGCCACTGGGTCATAATCAGGTGGATCATGTGGAGAAGGCGCCCTCAGGCGGAATGAGCCCATTCTGTAGGCTGGGGAGAGAACACACGCCAAGTACCGTTACCTTGTCGGAGCTGAAAACTCACTTTAAAGACCTTGAAAGTTAAAGCAAAAAAATACACCAAAAACATATTCTAACAGAAACATTTTCCTACACACATTGTTAAACACAAGACACCATTGGTGTTCTTACCTTGTTGATAGGGATAGCAATGAACACCACAGAACAGCAACACCAGAAGGAGCCCACTGAAAAACAACAAACTGTTAAATGATGCAGACAAACGTAGTTAAAACATCATCATCATCATCATCATCATCATCATCATCATCATCATCATCATCATCATCATCATCATCATCATCATCATCATCATCATCATCATCATCATCATCATCATCATCATCATCATCATCATCATCATCATCATCATCATCATCATCATCATCATCATCATCATCATCATCATCATCATCACTTACGCTGCAGCCATAACACCCAATGAGGACAGAAGAAGTAAGGAGACACGACGCTGGAGTGTATTTATATGTTGTAGAGGACACCCTGTAACCAATCGCAGCCTGATTAGATAACGATGGACAGCCGAAGTTAATTAATGCCCAATTCCACCCAACTCACCCTGCCCTTGTATGGATCTGACAGAAATAGGATATAAGGGCGTAGGGACTAGGGGTTGAGTTGGAGTTAGACAAGGCAAGTGAATTAACACCAGCTGGCCATCATTGTCTAATCAGGCTGTGATTGGTTACAGGTTGTCCTCTACAACATATAAATACACTCCACAGTCGCTTCTTCTCACTTCACATGTCCCCATTGAGCAATGGGTATTATGGCTGCTAAATGTTGTGCAGGGTAAGTGACGGTTAAGCTTAATAGTTGTTTTCAATAGGTGCTGTAGTCTTGCTCATTTAACATTTTGTTGTTTTTCAGTGGGCTCTTCCTGGTTTTGCTGTTCTGGGGTGTTCATTGCTATCCCTATCAACAAGGTGAGAATACCATTGGTGTGGTGTGTTTAACAATGTTGGTTAATGTTTCTGCCAGTAAAAAAAAAATTGAAATGGGGTTTTGTGCTAAAACTTTCAAGGCTTGAAAAGTGACATTTTTAAGATCTGAAAGGTAGTGGTACTGTCTCTCCTCTCCCCAGCCTACAAGACGGGCCCAGTCTACCGGAGACCGCCAACTCTGTATGGTCCACCTGTCAAACCCAGCCAGAATGACGCCTACGCACGCTACTACTTCCTTACGAAACAGCGTGATCCCACTGGTTCTGGGTCAAGCCTCCCTGGTCCGGTTGAGTCTGGGCATCCAATTGAAGGTGGCTCCAGTCCAGTTGTTCAGAGTTTTGCTCTTCAGAAGACTGCTGCTTCCCCTCACCTCGTTCCTGAACAGACTAGATGTGTTCCTGCTGGAACAACACACCCTAGTACTCTTCCACTACGTCCCCTGTGTGAGTCTCCACCAATTAAGTTCCAGGCAGGGGATATCTCTCACTTTGAGAGTGTCTATGAGCATGGCAACAGTCAGAGTGAGTCTGAAGACCAACAGTTCCCTCTTCCTGAGGTTGAGGCAGGCTCCATTCCAGCCCCACTGCCTGCTATAATAGCCCCACCCCTACCCAGAGTTCATAGACCAGAGCCTAGCAAGGAAGGGCTTGAAGCTAATTATGGTGAGCTGTTCATCGCTGGGAAGTTCCCTGCTGGCACCATCACCCACTTCAGAACCAACTATGCGCATGGGAACGAACAATGGAGTTCAGCTGGTTTCGTCAGGTACCGTCCTGCTCCCGTCCAATACCGACCACTATTTCCTCACGGTGCTAGCAGTGACCAGTAGGACTAGGTAATGTTTTTTGGCTCTTATTTTTGTCACTTGATTTCTAATGCGTTGATACAGCTGTAACACTTTCCTCCTCGTCCTCAGGTTCTCTATGCTAGCCTGGATCCTGCAGTCTCATGGCTGCGCTGACTGCTAATAAACTAATTGATATAAATATATTGTCTGTGTTGGTTTATCCATTTCTGTAAGTATTGTTTAGTCCTACACACTAGCAGCAACATTGTCTGTACAATATAAATGTCCTCATATTACTTCCGGGTGCACTGAGAAGGCAGTCTGTCATACTCCATTGCTTAGCATCTAAAGCCATCTACCAAATCCAGCTGCTGAGATCAGTTGCTTAGTGTCTACATTGTTGCAATTTCTGGCACTTGAGCCTCATTCCCGACTTCCTAATCAGCTGTCCTTTATGTGGCTCAATAGTGTTCCTTTCAAAATGTGAATGCCGCTCAGCGCTAACATGGCTGTTTCAGGCCATAGGACACCAGCTGCAGACACTTCTCATGCTCAATCAAATGTTATTTTATAAGGCCTTTCAACTTTGCCACTTTCCTCCAAGTGCTGTACAGATACCCTGCCTAAAGAGCAATGCAGTGGCTAGGGGGAAAGACTCCCTAGAAAGGCAGGAACCAGGCTCTGAGGGGTGGCTAGACTTCTGGCTGTGCCCCCATCAGATGTCTGCTAGTAAATGAGACATGGACAACTCATAGTTGCGCCAGCCTACAGGGAGGTTACACTTGCCAGGACAACTTCTCCCTGAAAGTCTGGAAGACCAAGGAGCTGATTGTAGACCACAGGCTGGAGAGGTGAGGGTTGAGAGGTTAAAGTTAATTGGCGTCCACATCACGGAGGATATAACATTGTCTGCACAGCACTGAAAAGGGCATCCAACAGCGCCTCTTTCCCCCTCAGGTGGCTGAAAAGATTTGACGCAGGCCCTTGGATCCATGAAGTTCTACAGCTGCAACTTCACTGGCTGCATTACAGCTTGGTATGGCAAATGCAGTTGACCCAGTACATCACCGGGGCTGAACTCCCTGCCATCCAGGACCTGTGGGGTATCAGAGGAAGGCCTGAAATTGGAAAAAGACTTAAGCCACCCAAGCCATAGACTGTTCACTCTGCAAACTGTACCAGAGCACTGGGTCTCGGACCAACCGGCTCTGAGACAGCTTCTACCCCCAAGCTGTTAGACTATCTGTATTTACCCTTGCGCTGACTCTATGCACACTCACAAGACCATATATACATCAGTGTTTCCCAAAATTGGTCCTTGGAACCCCAAGGGGTGCATATTTTGTTTTTTGCCCCAACACTACACAGCTGATTCAAATGGTCAAAGCTTGATGAATTGATCATTTGAATCCGCTGTTTAGTGCTGGGGCAAAAAACCAAAACGTCCCAAGGTTTGGGGTCCCGAGGAGCGAGTTTGGGAAACCCTGATATGCACTATATACACTCAAACACACTACACTAACACAACCCACACACATTTTCACACATCATATGCTGCTGTTACTGTTCTTTATTTTACTCTTATCTATCCTGATGCCTAGTCACTTAAACCTACCTTCATGTACATATCTACCTCAAATACCTGATCTATCCTGATGCCTAGTCACTTTACACTGCCTTCATGTACATACAGTTGAAGTCGGAAGTTTACATACACCTTAGACATACATTAAAAACTCAGTTTTCACAATTCCTGACATTTACTCCTAGTAAAAATTCCCTGTCTTAAGTCAGTTAGGATCACAACTTTATTTTAAGAATGTGAAATGTCAGAATAATAGTAGAGAATTATTTATTTAAGCTTGTATTTATTTCATCACATTCCCAGTGGGTCAGACGTTTACATACACTGAATTAGTATTTGGTAGCATTGCCTGTAAATTGTTTAACTTGGGTCAAACGTTTCGGGTAGCCTTCAACAAGCTTCCCACAATAAGTTTGCTGAATTTTAGCTCATTCCTCCTGACAGAGCTGGTGTAACTGAGTCAGGTTTGTAGGCCTCCTTGCTCGCACACGCTTTTTCAGTTCTGCCCACACATTTTCTATAAGATTGAGGTCAAGCCTTTGTGATGGCCACTCCAATATCGTGACTTTGTTGTCCTTAAGCCATTTTGCCACAACTTTAGAAGAATGCTTGGGGTATTTGTCCATTTGGAAGACCCATTTACGACCAAGTTTTAACTTCCTGACTGACGTCTCGAGATGTTGCGTCAATATATCCACATAATTTTCCTTCCTCATGATGCCATCTATTTTGTGAAGTGCACCAGTCCCTTCAGCAGCAAAGCACCCCCACAGTATGATGCTGCCACCCCCGTGCTTCACGGTTGGGATGGTGTTCTTCGGCTTCCAAGCAACCCCCTTTTTCCTCCAAACATAACGATGGTCATTATGGCCAAACACTTCTATTTTTGTTTCATCAAACCAGAGGACATTTCTCCAAAAAGTACGATCTTTGTCCCAATGTTTAGTTGCAAACCGTAGTCTGGCTTTCTTACGGCGGTTTTGGAGCAGTGGCTTCATCCTTGCTGAGCGGCCTTTCAGGTTATGTCGATATAGGACTCGTTTTACTGTGGATATAGATACTTTTGTACCTGTTTCCTCCAGCATCTTCACAAGGTCCTTTGCTGTTGTTCTGGGATTGATTTGCACTTTTCGCACCAAAGTACGTTCATCTCTAGGAGACAGAACGTGTCTCCTTCCTGAGCGGTATGAAGGCTGCGTGGTCTCATGGTGTTTATACTTGCATACTATTGTTTATACAGATGAACGTGGTACCTTCAGGCGTTTGGAAATTTCTCCCAATGATGAACCAGACTTGTGGAGGTCTACAACTTTTTTCTGAGGTCTTGGCTGATTTCTTTAGATTTTCCCATGATGTCAAACAAAGAGGTACTGAGTTTGAAGGTAGGCCTTGAAATACATCCACAGGTACACCTCCAATTGACTCAAATGATGTCAATTAGCCTATCAGAAGCTTCTAAAGCCATGACATCATTTTCTGGAATTTTCCAAGCTGTTTAAAGGCACTGTCAACTTAGTGTATGTAAACTTCTGACCCACTGGAATTGTGATACAGTGAAATAATCTGTCTGTAAACAATTGTTGGAAAAATTGCTTGTGTCATGCACAAAGTCGATGTCCTAACCGACTTGCCAAAACTATAGTTTGTTAACAAGAAATTTTTGGAGTGGTTGAAAAACGAGTTTTAATCACTCCAACCTAAGTGTATGTAAACTTCCGACTTCAACTGTATATACACAATGTACAAAACATTAAGAACACCTTGACCTCACCATGACATAGACTGACCAGGTAAATCCAGGTGAAAGCTATGATCCCTTATTGATGTCACCTGTTAAATCCACTTCAATCAGTGTAGATGAAGGGTAGGAGATAAGTTAAAGATTGATTTTCAAGCCTTGAGACAGTTAAGGCATTGATTTGTTGTTATGTGTGCCATTCAGAGGGTGAATGGGCAAGACAAAAGATTGAAGTGCCTTTGAACGGTGTATGGTAGTAGGTGTCAGGTGCACCGGTTTGTGTCAAAAACTGCAACGCTGCTGGGTTATTCACGCTCAATAGTTTCCCATGTGTATCAAGAATGGTCCACCACCCAAAGGACATCTAGCCAACTTGACACAACCGTGGGAAGCATTGGAGTCAACTTGGGCCAGCATCCCTGTGGAATGCTTTCGACACCTTGTAGTGTCCATGCCCTGCCGAATTTGAGACTGTCCTGAGGGCAAAAGGGGGAGTGCAACTCAATATTAGGAAGGTGTTCCTAATGTTTGGTATACTCAGTGTGCAGCGCAGTGCTGTAGGCTAGGTAGATGGATAAATAAATAAAATATATGGACAAGGCCTTGATCAGTCGTGAAGCGTAGAAAAAAGGGCGCATCCCAAATGGCTCCCTATTCTGTTTATAGTGCACTACTTTTTACCCTGGGATAGGGTGCCATTTGGGCAGAGAAATAAATAGAGCTATTGACATTTCCCTGAAGCAAGATGAGAGGAGGGGGTTTTTGTGTATGGTCCCACCCCTTATGCTTTATTTATATGTGATCACAACTGATTGCAAGAGAGATTAATCACTAGCTAGGTTTCCATCCGATTGGCGACAGATTTTCATGGGAATATTCTAAAATCCACATAAAGAAAATATGCAAATTGTCCCCAACCAGTGGTGTGTTTCCACCAAACTTGTTGCGGATGCTTAAGTTTTCATGTACCAAATAAAAATCTAAATGTCAATGTGATTCCATTGCACTTTCACAAAAACAGTTGCTTTAATTACCAAATGTGCCTACTCTGGTCTTGGCACCTGCGCTCTAGTCAACAGCTAGCAGATACAGTATGGGTAGGACAGTCTACATGAGATTATAATGGATAAGAGCAAGAATATCCTTATTTGTCAAACTGCAGTCAAGCATCAATCATCATGTCACCAGAATAAGACCCTCCATATGTACTGGAAAGGAGCATCATGATCACTGTGTACTTTCACCACCCTGTGAAGTTCATCACAATAGTTCTAATCTGTAGCCTAATAAACTGAATGGTTTCCGGAGTTGTAATGGGAGGGCCACACATCGTATCATCATGTGACTTTGATATGATGGCTATTATATAAATGTTTGCGCATAAAGGCATTTCCACCGCATTTTACAGAAACAAAAAGATCCCACCATGTCGATCAAACAAATTATTTGTCGGCATTTATAAAATGGTACCGAAACTTCCTCTTTCCAACACAGCTGTCGTGATTTATTTATTTATATATGGCATAAAAACTGTGGATGGAAACGTGGTTAGTAACAACACAGAAGGGATGCGTTGGTTGACATGCTACTTCTCTCTCTCTGCTATCTCCCTTCCCATCCCTCTCTAACAACCCTTCTTCCCTACCACCCCTCTCCTCACCCCCCCGCTCTACCTACCCTTCTTCCCTACCACCCTCTCCCCCTCCCTACCTCCCCCTTCTTTTCCCCTACCACCACCCTCCCCCCTACCACCCCACCACCCTCCCTCCTCCCTCCCCCCTTCTTCCCTACCACCCCTCCCCTCCCTCTCCCTCCACCTTCTTCCCTAACCCCCCGCTCCCCACTCCCTTCTCCCTCC